TCAATACCGTCATCTAAAGTGCTTTCAGTGCCTGATGTAAATACATTACCGGCAGCCATATCAATTGTGGTGGAATGGAATGAGAAAATGGTGGTGCTATTTTTGTGCGTTTGCTGACAGCTATGTGCAGGCACAATCCACCTAATTGGTTACCATGGTGCTGCAAAGGCAGATGTGAGAAAGCACCTAACTCAACAACTGGCTGCCACGACTGACAAGCAATTAAGGATTTGAAAGAGATTTTTAGGTACACTCTTCAGTAAAATGAAATGCACATTAAGATCAAGACTGACATCGCAGTGGGGAAAATCAGGCCGGCAGAAGTATTTTTTATCTTGATGAGGAACATATCCGAGTGATGCTCATTGGTTTGGTATGACATTACAGGTTTGGTTTCTTAGATACATTCCCATGCTGACATTCAGGAACATTCAGTAGCAGCAACAAGCTAATTATTGCCATGTGTTGAGGAAATGTATTCATTTGGTCACATTTCGACTCCACTGTCTGCAGCAATCTGATGCCATAAAACTATTGCTCGCTCTGAAGGCTTGGGAGCACCCAGGTCTCTGTGGTAACCGGGAGAATGCTAAATATTGCATTTTAAGAAGAGGAGACAGTCCAGCTGCAGTTGGTTTGTGGAACAAGACTGCCCTCCGATGGAGGATTGATTAACTGCTGGTAAATTAGACTAATGTACCACAGAAATGTGTCATTTCAAAAGACCAATATTGTTTCCATTAAAACAGATCGCTGTAGGGCGCCCCGTTAGCTCAGTGGGTAGAGCTGGCGAACCATGTACCAAGGCTGAGTCCTTGCTGCAGGGATCCAGGGTTCGAATCCGAACTGTGGCCCTCTGCTGCGTGTCATCCCCTCTCTCTGTCCCCCCTTCCTGTCTATCTTCAGCAGTCACTATCAAATAAAGGCAATAAAAAGCCCCAAAAAATACTTTGAAAAAAAACAGATTGCTGTAGAGTGGTTGCATTTTCAGAGTGGGCTTTATTCTATAAAGATGAAAGCAACATGCAGAGTGCTACTTGGAAATGGAATATTTTGGCCCCTGGGCGGGGCAAACTGAAATTTCCACCCCAGTGAGTTCTACCAATCTATTGCTTTGGGGTGTGTATGGTTGAGGTTGTGGGTTGCAGTCTGCCCATCATTGTGGAACTTCAAAGCCTGTCTGGGTAGAATGGACTGCATATGTTTTGTTTTGGTGTGTTTCAAGGGACTAATCCTCTCTAAAAAAGACTACAATGAGAACATCAATCAAAGCAGTTAGAGGTTTGGTGTCATGCTCAGTTGCATCTCAGGTAGATAGCTGTGTAACCTCTGCACCAATAGTTCTCCTTGGTTTGTGTGATCTGAATACCTCTTAGGAGGGAAGGATGTAAAACTTTGGCAAATCAAAAAAGTTTGAAAAATATGTAGTACATGTACAGTATAGTAAATGAAGTACATTTGTTCTGCTTCGCTTTGATTTTATCATCTCACAACCCCTCAGATTTATCTTGCAGACCCTGAGGTACTGGATTTATTGTTGTGTTACACAGTGATGGAAGAAGTGCTCAGATCCTACATCTACAAATACAACAATGTAAAAACACTCCATTACAAGTTAAAGTCATACATTTCCATTCCCAACAAATACAGATGTCTAATCAGCTAAATATACTTATAGAAGTAATAGCAGTAAGCATTTTGCAACAATGCCCCCTGTAACTGATATAGCTATTATTATCTACCACATTATGAGATTGTTAATGCTGAATCAAGCAGCATTTTACTGTTTTATTAACTATTGTTAAAGGGTCCAGTGTGTAACATTAAGGAGGATCTGTTGGCAGAAATGGAATATAATATTTATAGGTATGTTTTCATTAGTGTATAATCACCTGAATATAGGAACTGCTGTGTTTTAGTAACCTTAGAATGAGCTGTTACTGTCTACAGAAGCTGCGGGTCCCCTGACACTGGCTGTAGATATAGTAGATAAACTGTATATATTTGTGTTAGCATATTGGGTCCTTAAACAGTTATTAACCATCTCTGAAGGTGGACACAAAAGTGCAATGTATTCTATTTTATCATTTTTAAGTGTATGTCATGTAACCAATGAGTAAAAATACATGTCCCTCTGACATGTGCTGGAGTAGGCTTATAGAGTACCATGATTGCTGTGTAGTGTATTAAAGGTGGGGTCAGTCATTCTGTAGAAAGATAGCTGATTGTTGAGTCTCATTGTTGACCCCACCTTTAAATACGGCACTTGATTAAATGTACTGGTAAAGTTGACTTTCATAGAGCCTCATTTTTCAGTGAGCTACAGCACGTTATGTCGTTGACTCACTCTTGAACTCTTACAGGCTTCATTTGTAACTCGTAATTATACTTTTGGCCGTTCTCCAAACACAAAATGAACCAGAGGATGGATGGATTCCAAGCTGACGTGACTGCATTAATTCCTGCTTCATTTTCCATTTTTCAGTCACCCAAGAGAAAAGATAGATTCAGACTGGGACTGTGATGCCGTGCAATCAATTGTCTCATCTCTGGGGTGCAGTGAAATGGCTATAACAGTGGCATGTATAGCATAGGACCCCTTGTAGCTGTCACCCCCCATATGTCTGGCAATTCATCTTTTCTGTTGATACGATCATCTCGCCTCATAATTCATTATTTGTCTCCACTGGAGATGTACGGTATCTCTTACGCGATTACAATAAATAGAATTCCTATGATGACACTGCTTAAGGCCCAGCGTCTCATTTCCACTCTGCATTCTTCAAAAACAGACGAATGAGGGCCCCCGAAGGACCGTCCGAGCTCATTGTGTAAAAATGAAACATATTCCTCATTCTGCTCGCAAACTCAAAACTCGGCTGGAGAGATTAAATTTTGTGCTAAATTAATGACTTTGCACGTAGGAGGGTAATTAATCATTTGTTGGGTCCTTTCTCTGGCTCTTAGCGCACTCTGGCCCTCTCAGAGACACCTGCTCTAAAAACATCTTGACATTTTTGTAATTACACCTTTTCTCCCTAGCGCAGAGCAACTCAGCAGCTGTTGACAAACTGAGGGGTCACATTGCCCTGGCACAAATATAATAAGACCATGTGTTAAAATCCCAGCGGTCACAATAGTGACCATTAAAAACGTTTGTTTTTCAGGCTATAGATTTAAGGTCCACAGCAGAAGGTCATTAGCCTGTGTTACAGGTTAGATATAAGATGTTTTAGAAATACAGACTTGAACTACTATTGATATATTATGCTGAATAACTTTCCTTATAGCATAAAAAGAGTTGGTGTGCAGTGGTGGTAGAACTTCCCAGATAGACGCAGGTCTCCTTTACAAGCCTGGTGTGGCTACATGTCAGGTCTCTATTAGAGGCCTGGTCTGGATTTATAGAAAATATCTGAATGTAAAGTATAATTCATTCAGTTTTACTGGCAAACAATAGAGACGAAAAAGTGCTGCCTCCCAACCACTGAAGCTGTCATAAAGTCTGTATGGTCTGCGTCCATTCCTGCATTATTTATATCCTTTTAGTCCAAAGGGTCCAGCCATCAAAAGAATCAAAGGGTTTCATTAAAATGAATCCAAGTTGTGAATATTATCATGAGTCTGTGCTTGCAATTGTTTTTTTTTAATGCCAGAAACAAGCTTTGTTATTCTGAGATAACGAGATAATCAACTCATTATCACAAGAAAACAAAAGGCAACTTCCGCTTATCATTTAGGTTTATCAGAGATGAGGAGTGCCATGCATAACTCTCCGTACATTCTGATAACGACTCTTTTCAGTTCAGTTATGAATCCTTCCTGACGGTCATGATAGTGATACTGTAGGCTGAAATCAAATGAACCACACTAATTTTTGACTTCTCTATAATTATCCTGCGATTTTAAGAAAAAATAATTTTTTTTTCGAGAAATCAGCTTTTCGTTTTCTTGAGATAACGAGATAAATTAACTTGTGATCTCGAGATAAAGAATCATTGCAAGTTTAAAGTAAAGTGTGAGTATTTCTGTTTCCTTGAAGGCACAGCATTAGGCGTCCAGCGATGATTTCGTCTTGTGCAGCGACCGTTGACTGTTAGATCCAGGTTGCTTACAGTTATAAGCATCAACAAAGGGAGCTTTTTCAATCAGAGGTCTGGAATACTGATTTGGTTTTCCAGCTGCTCCAACTCCCACCTCGGTCACACAGCACTGCAAATCAGACACATTTTTTAAGGTGCTGCGCAAAACGCCTAAATCTCGTATTAATGCAGCTAAATGAATATCAATACATATGACCCCATACACACTTCACATAGGCATAGACAATTACCTGCCTAATTGTGAAAATGAAAGAGACCAACACAAAAGAAAATCACATGTATTCAAACTGGCCTGCTCATTCAGCATGCAAAATTATGCATGCCATAATTAATTTGCCATTAAGGCTGGATTGATGTCGCCTTCATGATGCAGACAACCAAGCCATAATTGCCTCTGGTGTTGCATTCACAGCTTTGCCTCATTACTGAAACAGATGCTAATTTAGCGGCGCGGCTTCAGGTCGACAGGTGTGTGTGAAGTATGTGTGTGTGTGTGTGTCTCAGAGTGGATCGCTCTGCTGTATTGGGCTACGTGTGAAGCGTACTGCGGAAGGGAAATGAGGAGTTGAAAATACATCATAATAAGCAATGGCATGTTCATGAGGGAAAAAATTAAATATTTTCCTTTTTGGTGGAGCATCTTTTAATCGTACTGAATGGCAGAGGCAGTAATTGCTATGTGAGGAGAAAGAGACTTAATCGCTGGAGTAAACAAACCATTCTGCTGAATTATTAAGCTGTTTAACTAAATTATCTGCTTTTGGACCTCTTAGTTTTTCCTGTTCTTCTATTCACTGGGGTAACTGTAACCCTCCTTTATATGCTTTTCTATGAAAAGCGCTTAGTAACTCAAATGAAGTCATACTTCAAAAGATGTTTAGTCTTTTGACAATAAAAACCCATTAATATATTTAATGGCAACATCAGCTATGTTTAGAGAAACTATACTCATACAAACAAATGAAAAAACTACAAAATATCACTTTCTTTCCCCACATTCCCCTTCAGTTCGTCTCAGTCAGTCAGTACAGTGGCCATCATCTCAACAGCTGGAAAACAGCTGGCGGGTTTCACCACAATATTATTTTCACTGCAGGATAACTAATGAGTTATCCAGTTCAGATTCCTCAAATATGGCCTCACATCTTCTTTGCCCGTTTCTTGGGTCTTTGGTTGAAGACAGGCGAGGCTCCCATCAAGGAGTCGGGTGAATGCGAAGCGTAGCTGGCGTCTGACACCGCGCCTCCGGGGGAGGGCGCCATGGCCCCTCCTGACTCGCTCATGGTGGACATGGGCCCACCCTCCTCGAACACATCTCCGCCCAGGACGCTGTGGTGGTGGTGGTGGTGGTGATGATGATGGCTGGCACCCTGGCCCTCCTCGCCATCCTGTGGCTCCATTTTGACCTGCGGCCACAGTGGGGAGTTGTTGGCCCCGCCCCCTCCTTATAAGAGAGGAGAACAAATTTAGTAAAGGTGAAGTTACTTAAGGCAATGCACTTACACAAGTGAAAGTGGATAACATCTGCGTTTCATCTGCAAAATAAAAAGAACTCTCCCTCCTTTAAGTTCTCCCCATCAGTGCACAGAACATCAAACACTGAAGGTTTATTCCAGAGAGGCTGCACACTTCAGTCCTCTCTGTAAAAAACTCAGAGATGAATGAAGACGTACCCATTTGAACAGGAACGCTCGTCTCACCTGAGGTGTGAGGTGAATGGTCACCGTCCAGGCCTGAAGCTAGCCTCTCGCCGTGGGCCCCGAGGACCCCCATGGGCAGAGCTTGGTCCCCGGAGGCCAGGTCGGCCTCAGGCTCCTCGCTGACAGGGAAGGAGATGTCACTCATAGGTTCTTCCTTGATCCTCAGGGGCTTGGAGTCCTCCAGAGCCTTCTCTGGGTTCACCAGTCGCTCGTACTCCTCTGACAGATCCTTACTCACCTGGAAGAGGAACATCTTTTATTTGTCCCATTTTACTGGTGAAAGCTCAAAGATAAAGAAATGTTAGCGCCTTGATAATCTGGAATTTCAATTCAATAATGATAATATTATTATATAATATATTATTATATATAATATTTAAATGTTTTTGATCCAAAACATTGTAAAAAGAACATTGCTCTTTGCCAAAGTTAGTCACAGACACAAAGGACCAACTCTACAGTTGTATATCTTTAGAAGTCAGGTTGGCACTGAAGACAGTGACTCTCCCAGTTTGGTTTCTGTCTCGCTTCCAAGCAGCTTGTGCACACAAGCTGCCATACGGTCCTTTGTTCTCACTGGCGCAAAGTCCTTTATGCTTTCTGAGATGATTCAGCATTGTTGAAAAGATATTATCAAACGCTGTCTCAGCACTTTGCCAAATGGGATTATTTTCATTATGATTTAATCTGCTGACTTTTTTTCCAATTACTCGTTTAGACTACAAAATATAGCCAACAATAGCCATCAAATGGTGAATTCTTCCAGTGTTTTACCCAGGAAATTGGTTAGCGAAGGTGGTAGATGTAATAATGAGGGTTTACCTTTTCTACTAAGCTGCTCTGATTAATTTGTGTGAAGTGAATGTACAATGTGACCTATCAGTCTGATCATTGGTACAGCTGTTAGATGGTTTAAACAGTCACCTTAATCATTAAATACTGTACGTGTCCTTTTTGGCGTGATATAGTGTCACTGCTACTGTACCCTGAAACTTAATTAGCCTAATATTTTATTAACAGAGGCACTCTAAAAACTACAAAATGCTGCCATTTTGTAGTGGGGATGCCCCACATCAAATGTTTTGTTTTGTGCAACCAAAACCCAAAGATAGTCAATTTACAATGATTAAAATAACTGAGAAACGTAGCAAATAGTCATATTGGAAAATCTGGGACTAGAGAATGTTTGACATTCAACTGATTGACTACTTGTTTCTGTAATAAACCAATGACAGAGATAGCATGAAGAAGACTCTACTGGTGGTCTATGTCAAAGCTTCTACTGACATTACATAGCAAACTGCTTAATGATGCATTTCAATAATAAAACAAATATTAACCAAATTACAAATGATTATGTTGAACAGCGGGCATTGTGAATAAAATCCTTTATCACGGTATGTTTAACTACAGCATGAACTGTATGCCAAAATCTTGGATGCCTGAGACATTGTAAATGATCTTATACACTGTCAAATAGCACAACCCTATGATCAGTTACGACCAACCTCACCTGCAGCATGTAGCTGTGATAGTCCTTGATCCGCACTTGCCAGAAGCGCTGCAGGGCCAACACGCTGCCAATGCCCACCTCATGGAACACTTGCTCCACCACGTCTGGGAAGGGACTGGCTCCTAGCCGAGCCTCCCGGTCCACCGCCACCCGCAGCAGGCGGGTGAGGCGCAGGTAATGCTCATGGACCAGGTCCGTCAGGGTCTCCAGCACGCTCTCCTGGGCCGACTCAAAGCCGGCATGGGCCAACACAGTGGCCACTGATTGATAGAGGAGCTGCCGGCAGGAGGGCCAACTCAGCTCTGTGACAGGCTCGCCTTTACCCCTTATGATGGAAGATAAAAGGAGATAAATGATGAATGGTTGCTAAATTGACTGAGATTATATCAGTGAAATATTAGATAATATGTAAAATAAATATATAATATATAAAGTGAGTGAGTGATAAGCCTACAATTTAGATTCTTTACCTGATATGGAAAGCATTTCATCACAAGGGAGGGAGCTCAGCTACACAGTCAGATTAACTTACTTGTAGAAGTCACTTTCGGGGTCACTGTGGCGCAGCTGGAAGGGCTGCCGCGGGGCTTTGCTGTCCACAGGTAGTAAGTCATCTGGCATGACAGGTGGGGTGGGAGGACGCGGGGGGAGGGTGGTATCAGCCTCCTCCAGCTTGCTGCCAGCCTCAGAGGACGCTGAGCTCTGACCCTGAGCCTGGGCTTGGGCCGCTGCCAGGAGACCACGGAGGCGGCGGGTGTGCTGACACAGCTGCACTGTGTGGATGGTGAGGCTGCAGGGCTCTGAGGGGATGTCCAGCATTGTGGTGGGCCGCGGACGCTGGGCTGAGGGCTGGTGCAGCGGTGGGTCCTGCATCTCCACTGAGCGAAACTCACGCTGGAGCAAGTCAAAGGAGCTGCGACTGGGAGGAGCCCCTGCAGGTCCAGGGATCTCACCCCAGTAACGCATCATGATGAGCGATCAAAGACCCGAACCCAATTCAAACTCGAGTCTGAAAATTGGAAAAGAGGGGAAGCGGGAATGACCATTACCATCAAGGACGAAGTGGATATAAACAACATCAGTCTCTACTTTTTTATACACTACCAATAATTAACTTCACGTTGAAGTTTTTTTTAACTCTTAGTTATTGCTGATACAGAGTGGCAACTAAATCACACCAAATACCAGCCAACAGTAGCAAAAAATGGATTAACACTCATGGTGGAAAACGTGCACTCCACACACACACACACACACACACACACACACACACACACACACACACACACACACACACACACACAAGAGAGAGAGAGAGATACATAGGTCCAGCCACTAACATGTTTTAAAGAAAATATTAGCAACTATAGTGAGGTCGCCTTGCCTTTGTATTGTATATGCTTATGTATAATGTATAGAAGACAGTAGCAATAGCAAGCAATGCCATCTTGAGGGTTAAACAGTGTTGGAAACGCAATTAGGTTTCATTTATTTTTGCCGAACTGAGGAGTAAATGGCATTGATTCGCGTTAGCTCTTCAGTCAAGGTTTAAACAGGTCTGTCTGTTTGCCATATTGCAAGACAACCGGGAATGTCAGGTGCCTGACTGGAGTTTGGTCGTGTATGAGCGTACAAGAGAAAACGCACAAACCAACAACTGATGAAGGAGCAGCGAGTAACAAGTAAGCTAGCATGTTTATCTAACGTTAGTTAAATGATCAATACATTAGAAATCCAGCAGTGACTCACATTACACAGGGATGGATGGCACGTCTGTTTATAACTGCAACCAATAGCCCTCCGATCTTTACGGGGTTGTTGCCCGGGAACTAAGTTTTCTAGTCCTTGTTGCAAAAACAACTCGGGTGAAATCGGCGGAACAAGAATTTTAGTTCCGCAACATAAAAAAATCGCCGGGGATTAAATTATAAATTCAGTCAACATGCCGTGTAATCGTATTTGAATGATTTTTCAAATGCTTTTTTTCCAGACTATATTCTGTCTTATAGTACAGTATGTATGAGATTTATATAGGTTCAAAACTCGGGCACAATTCACAGTCGCACCAGATAGAACATGGCCGCCTCCCCGCCGTCAGACGTGTGTGTGAAAAATACGGATGAAGAAATGAATTCTGCAACAGAAACAGTCCAGTGCTCGGCCACTGAGGTTGGGGTTGAGCCTGAAAAGAAAGACTTACACAAACCTGAACCAGAAACAGACGACACTTTTAAGAAACCGGCTCTTTTCGCGGCACCTTCCCTCACCACCAAACGCAGTGGCGTCGCTGCGCCGTCCAAAGCCACAGCAGCCGAAACAAAAAGGGTGACAGAAAATAACAACGCCGAGGTTGAACACACTACTACAGAGGACTGTTCTGGTCCTGTAAATGAAAACAACACCACCGAGAAAGACCAAGAAGAGGACAAAAACCTCGTGAAAGATGAGAATGTGGCTCGCGTCAAAACCAAGCCAGAAGCTAAACCCAGGGTGCTTCCTCCTAAAGTGCCCCCGGCTGGTAAATTCCCCCCTCTCCCATATACAGAACCGCCCTGGGGTGGCATAGCTCCAGATACCCCGTATGCTTTGGAAATCCTTAAAAACGGCACCATAGTGGACACGGTACCCCTCACCCAGGGGAGTTACTTCGTGGTCGGACGTTTACCTGTGTGTGACGTGTCTCTGGAGCATCCCTCCATCTCCAGGTACCATGCGGTGATTCAGTACCGCAGAGAGGCTGGAGAGGGGGAGTCTGTGGGGGAGGAGAGAGGGTTTTACATCCACGACCTGGGCAGCACACACGGCACTGTGGTGAACAAGAACAAGATCCCCCCGAAGACCTACATCAGACTGCGTGTGGGGCATGTCTTAAAGTTTGGTGGGAGCACGAGGCTTTTTATCCTGCAGGTAAGTGGTGATGTGGACCCCCACGTGCACTAAATATACTGACGTGGATATATTAAAGCTGCTCTAGCTCACTTTTGTTATGTTTGCTGAAACTTTCGCTCTATCCTGACAGGTAGTATGAGACAGACAGTGGGTTCCTCCTTTAATGGTGTTTACAAGAATCCACCGGGCCTGAACGAAAACAACCAATCAGAGCTGAGAAAGAAAGTTGATTGAGTCTCATTCCTAGGGTATCAAATATGGATGCTGGGAATATGACTCAACAATCAACTGTCCTCAATCCACCAGACCAAAGCGTCGTTCCATCTTTCTTGGCTCTGATTGGTTGTTTTCGTTCAGGCCCGGTGGATTCTTTAAAGCACTATTAGGAGCACCCGTAAGGAGCCAGAGGAACCTGTTTTTTTTTTTTTTTCACAGATTATCTGTCTCGTAGATTTTTTATGTATAAAAATGACCTGCTGCAGCTTTAAGGATAACAGGACAGCTTTCATTAGTCCCTCTCACAGCAGGGATGCGTCACTATAGACTTGATTCCAGCAAGGTTTTGAGATGATGTGATTCTCTATCTTTCTGGCTTATAATAATAATGACGACGACATTCACTGACATATAGACCTAAACAAATATGAAAAAATATCCCTGTTATTCAGCCCAGACCACTCTCATCATTTATAACATTACAACCTTTAGCCTAATTTCTTTTAATCTTCCCACTCTGCTGTAGCCTCTTACAGGGCTCAAACATGAAATGAATGAATGGCGGATGAAATATAATGCCAATATTAAAGAAAATAAATTCCCCAAAAATTCCATTATTCCATGCACATTCCAGTCTAATATACATGGTTATCTTGCCCAGTAACGTTGTTGTAGATGGATTTTTTATTAATTAATGATATAGAGGATCAAAAGTATGTCACTAAACTGCACTGATCTATGCAGTATAACATAATATATATTTCACACGAGCAAGTGTTTTAGTTTAGGTTTGTTGTCATTTAGGATGGGAGGAACGTGTTAACATCTATAAAAGACAACGGTGCCTGAGGGTGTTTAGGCAGCATGCTTGAGAGTTATAGTATAGGGCTCCACACTCACTTTTTAACCACATGGTTGTCTCTTCAGTGTGTGTAAGCCAAGTGAAAAGCTGTGAACTTGTGCAGCAGTTTATTAATAGTTGGTTGATTTATCTGCCACTTGATCCATTGGAGAAATGTTTTGATTGCTTTTGTTTTGACTGTTAATCATTTAAGTCATTTATCAAGCAAAAATGCTTTCTCATTCTCTGCTTGCAGTTCACTTTTATATCATTGTTGATTTACTGTATATTTTGGACTGTTGGGCAAACATTTGAAAGATTTGGGTTGTGGGAAATTTTCATTGGCATTTAGTTCTTTTGTGCATTTTATAGACTAAATCAGTGTTTTAAGTTAAACTGTGCAGTAGCCCCCCCTGGTGGGCCACAGAGCCATTACACAAGAATGTGGAGTGAAACTAAAGTTGACATTTTGACTTCAGGCACAGGTGTTACATTATTCCTTTCTGCATCGCAGTGCAGTGACTGTTGATTAATAGTTCCACGTGTGTTTTTCTGCCACGATGAGCCAAAATGTGTGCTGTGAAGAAAGGCTTATGAGTCTGCTTTAAAAAAAACTTAAATTAAGAGAGCTGTGATGCTGAAGCTATCAAAATTTACTCAGACAGCAGAATGACATGTAAAGGACTTTATTGACATATTTCTGACAGGGAAAAGGTAGATGATGCTCATTGTACAAACACCTTAGTCCAAAATATGACAGGGCTTACCTTGCTCTCAAGTTCACTGTCACAGTATTGCAGCAGAGCCCTGTGTCTGCACATCAGAAATCAAGGAACATATGAAAGGAAACATGGAGCTCATTATATGAATATTTTATTATACATATCATATATTTCTCTTTGCCCTTTTTCTGAATTTCAAGGGGAACTTGATTTGGTTTAGCAACCAAATATTTTTCATGAACTTTCCACATTCACCTTTCCTCCTTCCACAGGGTCCAGAGTTTGATGAGGAAGAGGAGTCTGAGCTAACAGTGACAGAGCTGAGGGAGCGAGCCCGCAAACAGAAGGAAAAGCTGGAAAAGAGGATGATGGGAGACGGTTCTGATGATGATGATGATGATGATATGGAGGAGGAGGAGAAGGAGGAAGGCGAAAGCAACAAGGGCCAGAGCAAACAGTCAAATGAAGACTCGGGCTGTTCATGGGGAATAGGTGAGCCTTTTTTCTGCCGGTTGTAGGATTACGCCAGAGCGCGCTACGTGTCATCTGTGTTGACATATCGCTGCGTTGTCATCCCGAGTGTGTCGGTGTCAACTTTCTCTGAAGGAGCATGTTAATCCTTTTTGCTCTCTCCTTTCCTTTCATTCCATCTGTCTCCATAAATCCACCCTGCAGCCGAGGAGGCTGTTCCAGAGGAAGACGAGAACGAGGAAAACCCTTTTTCAACAGAGTTCCACGAGGACCAGGAAGCTGCCTACCTGAAAGACCCAAAGAAGGCTTTGCAGGGCTTCTATGACAGGGAAGGTGAGAAGTCCACAGATGTCTGGTTCCATTGTTTTCATGGTTCTTGAGTTTCCCTTGACTTCAACTTTGGCATGCTTTTACTTTAGGAGAGGAGCTGGAGTTTGAGTATGAAGACAAAAGCCATGGCAGCTGGCTCTGCAGAATAAAGTAAGTGATGTGAAACCCCTTGATCTATGAGTGTACAAAATATGTTTCCTCGCCTGGAGTCACACCGTTCCTGCTGATGTTTCTGTCAGGCTTCCGGTGGACGATGCCGTGGGCCGGCAGCTGGTTGCTGAGGTGACCCACACAGGGAAGAAGAAAGAAGCGGCCATCCAGTGCTGCCTGGAGGCTTGTCGAATGCTGGAAGCCAGAGGGCTGCTGCGCCAGGAAGCAGGTGGGAACTCCAGTGGGAATGTCTGAAAGTAGAATTATGAGACCGTCCAGCTTGTATTAATGAGGATTGCAATAAGACTTTTTCCTGTCTTATTTCTAGTGTCCCGTAAGCGCAAGAAGAAGAACTGGGAAGATGAGGACTACTACGACAGTGATGATGACACCTTCCTGGATCGGACCGGCACTGTGGAGAAGAAGAGGCAGGAGAGAATGAAAAAGGCGGGAAAGATTGAGAAGCGGCCTGAGACCTATGAATCATTGGTAAAAATCTGCTACTGTTTATGCATCACAATATTCTGATTCAGTACATCTTTAATCTTCACTTTATTTACACTTGTTCAGCATGATGCTGAAGGCACTTTGCTTTATTAAAGAGAAACTACACACAGATCATTGGTGTAAAGCCTCATGTCTAATGCTGAACAGTCTACAGCTATGCTAGTGGCACTGTGAGGCTGTACTTAGGTGTTAAATTTCATCTTGACAAATGTAAATATTTTCCAGTCTCTGTAGTCCTCTATGACAGGAAGCGCAATATCTTTGGGTTGCACATTTGAGGATGTCATCTTGGGCTTTGGGAACCATTTTCATCATTTTCTGACATCTTATGGACTGAACAACTGATAGATTAATAGAGAGAATTGACAAAGCAATCATTAATAAACGTAATTGTTAGTGGCAGCCCTCTGGAGACGATCTATGTACCAAATATCATGGCAATCCATCCAGTAAATGTTGTATCAGTCCGGTGTGTCTCCTCTCTGTCAAAATACATGTATAAACTTGACTTTAGAAACCGATCTATACTGAGAGGTGTATTTGTGTAAACAGCACTTGTACTATGATGTGTAACAAGCGTGCTGTATGTTTCTGTGGTAACATTCATGTATTTGATTTTCGTGTAGGTGGCCAAACTGTCAGAGGTGGAGAAGGAGCTGGCAGAGACTCAGAAAAAGCTCAGTGCTGATAGAGGAGGTGAGTCATGGAGTGTTCTCTCTGCCACACTACCTACAGATGCATGTTCTCCATGTG